TCCTTCACCCATCCATCCTTCCCCCAACCCACCCACCTCTGGAAACCATTAATCTATTCTCTGTTATTTCTGAGGGTTTTTTATTTGTTTGTTTGTTTGTTTGTTTTGATTTCACAGGTAAGTGAGATCACATGGTATTTGCCTTTCTCTGTCTCACTTAGCATAATGCCCTCAGGGTCCATCCACACTGTTGCATGTTGTAAGATTTCCTTCTTTTCTATTGCTGAATAATATTCCATTGGGTCTCACTGGGTTCCTTGTATTTGGAAGTCTGGATCTTGAGGTCTACTTCCTTCCCCAGGTTAGGGAATTTTTCAGTCAATGTTTTTTCAGATAAGTTTTCTGCCCCTTTCTCACTCTTCTCTTTCTGGGACCCTTGTAATGGTCCAAGATTTGTAATGTCCTTTCAGTCCCTTCAGCCATCTTCATTCTTTTACTTTTCGCTGCTCTGATTGAGTGAAATCTGCCCTGCCTTTGAGTTCACTGATATATTCTTCTGCTTCATCCAGTCTGCTGTAGAACCCATCTATTAGATTTTTCAGTCAATTATTTTACTCTTCAGCTCCACAAATTCTACTTGCTACTTTCTTATAGTTTCTGTTTGTTGAAACTCTCACTTTATTCATGCATTGTTTTGCTGACCTTGGTTAACATCATTATGACTGCTATTTGAACACACTTATTTCTGTTTCATTGAGGTCTTTTTTTTTTTTTTGAGATTTTATCTTTTTCATTTAGAACTTATTCCTGTGTGTTTTAAAATTTTTTTTGACTCTTCTGTGTTTGTTTCTATGCATTAGATAAACAGCCTTGATGGAGTTGCCTGTTTTAGGAGATGAACTTTCTTAACTACATTTTTAAAAGGTGTTGAGACACGGTATCACTAAATTTCATTCAAAGAATCCATCTCCCCTCCCTGAAAAAAAGAATGTGTTCCCCTTGTTAATGCTTTCTAAATATTTATTTTTTTAAAGATTTTATTTATTTATTTGACAGAGAGAGAGAGATCACAAGTAGGCAGAGAGGCAGGCAGAGAAGGGGGGGGGAGCAGGCTCCCTGCTGAGCAGAGAATCTGATGTGAGACTCGATCCCAGGACCCTGAGATCACTACCCGAGCCGAAGGCAAGCTTAACCCACTGAGCCGCTCAGGTGTCCCTGTTAATGCTTTCTAAATGCCATTATTACCTTACCTGTTATCTGTGCATGTTCTTTATTGTTATTTCTAATGCCAGTAGCACTTTTATCTTTTTTAGAGTTATGTTATTTCAAGAATAGTGTATTTGTATTAATAGAATCATAACAGTAGGAAACCATTTATCTGTTCTCAGTAATAAATTCAAAGTGATTGACTTATACCTTGTTTCTAGATCATTGAAATATATACAATAAAATTTTAACCTGAAAAATTTTCAGAAGAACTCTTTTTAAAAAGATTTTTTGTTGTTCTTCACTTGTTTGATTTATTTAACTAGACACAATAAATTTAACACCTATGGCACAAATCCTATTATAATAAAGATTCAGGCAGGTTAGTAGACTAGTATACAAAAATTGGAGAAAATACCTTATTAGAAATTCTTCTGTCTTATAATTTAGGGGTAAGTTTAATTTTATTTGTGATATTTAAGTAAAGTTAATTTTGAAGACATGTAAAATGTTTTCAAAAAATTATATTATACTTCAAAAACGGGATTTGTTTCTTTCCTAGAATTCTCTACTGAAACATGTCTTAGTGATCTTACCGAGTCTCGTGGTTTTACATATAATGTGTGTGCTCACTCCTCCCTTTTTCCAGCTATAATTCTCCCCTTACCTTACAACTTGTATATCCAACTGCCTACTCAACAGCACCACTTAACACATCAGACATAATATGTCCAAATTGAATTTCTTACCCTCCTCAGACAGAAGATAGTAAAACCTGCTCTACCCTCCATGTTTTCTTTCTTTATTAATGGCAAATCTGTCCTTCCATTTTCTCGGTCCAGAAACATTAGACTTATCCTTGACTTCTCTTCTGCCTCACATTTGTGAACAAATCTTACTACCTTTAAATATATCTAGCATCTGACACGTTCTTCTGACCTCTGTTGTGTTTCTACCCTGGTCCACCACATCTTTATTCTTTATATGAATGATTTCTGCGTGCTTCCATCCTTGCATGCCTCTAGTCTATTCTCATTAGCCTAAGTGATCTATCAAACAAAAACCAGATCATGTCTCTTCTCAGAACCTTTCAGTGGTTCCTCATTTTTTCCAAAGTAAAAATCAGAGTTTTTACCCTGGCTCATGAGGCCGTGCACAATCTGTTCTCTCTACCACCCGCCTTCTCTGACTTCATCTTTTTCTATTTTCTGCCACCCTGGCTCTCGTGCTTTTTCTCAAACACAGAAGACACCATCTGCCTCAGAACCTTTGCACTGACTGAAACACTCTTATGAGATGTAATCTTTCACCTCCTTCAAGCCGTTGCTCAAATGTCACTTTTCCGTGAGCCTCTACTCTACCCTGTTTGAGATCTCAGCCTCCTCTCCCTTGCCATGCTCCTGATCTCCAAAAAACTAGTCACATTCTAATATATAATACTATGTAATTTACATATCTATTATATTTTCCTTGATCTTTTATCTCCTAGTAAAAGTTCTGAAAGGGTCAGCAGTTTTGACTTTTTTTTTTCACTGATTAATCACGCAATGCACAGACTGTACTTGGCTATAATTTTTGTTGGATGAATAATTGCATGAAGGAATGTTTTTATGAAATTCTTGTAGGGTGTGTGTATGCACGCATGCATGCATGTGCATGTAGAGGGGGTTGTATGTGTTTATAGAGTAAAATAACATAAGTCAACATAAGTTTTCATCAAAATATTTTCTCTTAAATTGGGTTTGTGGAGTATATAGTTGTTGGCTAAAGCACATCTGTCTTTCCTTCATTTGAGCTATTTTGTATATGGGACAAAAGACAACAGTTTCTAAATATTTAGATCAAAGCAAGAAGTGTTTTTGAAACCATTTTTCAACTTCAAGAATGATTGTGATAAGTATCTGTAGGTCAGTAACTTGGAATTTTTTTAAGACATGATTATTCACTGGAAATTTAAAGAGATAATGTAGACATCTGAAAATTAAAGTTTTTAATTTTAGTAATCCCATTCTAAGCTTCATAGAAATTTTCCTTTCTCTTTTTTTCTTAAGCTTAAACATAGGCTTTTTCATCCCATGTAGAATAGAGAAATAATCTTTTAGGTGGAATGTTGTGTCAGATAACTATGGCACTCATACCCTCGTATTACTCTAGAAATTGTACAACATATGGTACTTTTAGGATAAGCTTATCTCTGAACCCTTTCCCCTATTAAAGGACTATTTCATAAGTACCTTTCTACCCAACCAACATAATATCTTAAGCCTGATACATTTCCCAAATCCAAATCCAATTTTTTTCTTATGACAAATAGCACTACTGCCAAACATTTATGATTTATTCTGATGGAGAAGAATGCCTGTTTCTTGACTGATTTAAATTTAGTCTTACATGTGAACATTTGCTAGCTAATTATTAGTCACATTCATTATGACTCTGAATTGGTAAAAATAAAAAACACTAGAATTTTCTAAAGAATAATATTACAGCATTATGAAAATACCTCTTGGGGTCAGTTTTCATTGTTAAAATGTTAACTTCAGAGTAATTAATCTGTGGTGCCTTTCTTCCACGGTTCTGATAAAATAGTCAAAGATGTTAAGAAAATTTTGGATGAATTCTGGATTGTAGACAATCATGTTAGGCCATTATGCATAGATGTTCAACTAAATAAATAATCCCTGTATATCCTTTTAGTCCAATAGGTTTTTGATTCATTCACATGCAGTTACAAAGGAATTTCAGATCCAGAAATATACATACTCAGAAAGCCCATGTGACTTTGTGCTGAGAGATTAAATTTTGTGGAATATAAAGTTTACCCTGGAAGGAAATATATACTCATTATAGAGCTTAATTCATTCCTATCCAACTTGTGGGTTATTAAATGTAAAGTTTTATATAGAGTTTAGCAAATAAATGCAAGAGCTACTTGGTGGAATATGTGTTTCTGAGAAAATTGCTTTGTATTTGCAGTCTTATCTTAACGCCTGGTGACAGCTATCTTCTCTTATTCTAGCGAGACATAATATGAGGGGGGAGAACACCTTCCTCGTGAATTGTGTTTTAGGTAGTCAGCATTCTGAAGTAGTTTCAGAATTGAGACTAAATAAATACAGTCCTGAGGAGGAAATAAAAGAAATCTCTCGTTACATGTTTATTGATATTGTGATTTCACAAAAGGAAAAAAGTGTTGATTGAAACAACCTAGAGATCACTGATATCTACAGAGTTTATGATGAGTTTGACCCAAGTACTCTTAAGATATGCTACATACTGCTTTAGTGCACTCAGGATATTCTTACAATAGTATCTTGTTCTGGATAATTCATAATTTTATAAAGAGTTAAGATATTCATTTATTAAACCTTTGGCTTGAATTCAGCATCATAACTATTACTTGGAATACCATACACTGAGAGAAGTGTGTTTAGCTATGTTTCAAATGATGGAAAATGAGGATGGTCTTACATTACTTTGTTTTATCTTATTAACCATAAGAAAAAAAGGGGGTGGTATGGATTTGCTAATACACTCTGAATGCATAAACAACAACAACAACAACAAAAAACAAAATAAGAACTGTTTGTAAGATAGCATTAAATAGCAGCTGTTTAGGCTTAACATGCTTTACCCAGATTAAAAACTTTCTTGGTAAAGGTGGTTCTTGTTTTTCCTTTTGCTGACATCCACTCTAGAACAATATGGGTTGATTTAAAAGTGAAGGCCTCCATCCTCCAGGGGATAGGGAGGACAGATCCAAAGTATTCAGAGCCCATATTCCTAGTTACCTCTCTGACTGCATTTTGCTTTTAGCATTAACGTGCTTTGCTTTCTGATTCTCTTTATTTTAGTCTATACAAGGGAAACTTTCTAAAGAAAAATCAACTACTCAAAAGATGATGGAAGAGCTGGAAAAGAAAGAAAGAAACCTACAGAGATTAACAAAAACTTTGCTTGATGTGAGTAGAAAAAATTCAAATTACTTTCAAAAAATGATTCAGTACTTATTTAAGTTAAAGCAGATACTTATTTTGTACATATTCATAGCATATTTTTTACTTGAAGACTTGATTTCGGTGTGCCAATTAATTAACTCCATTAGGTTTCTTACAAAAGTATAATTAAAAGGCAAACTTTTATTTTTCTTATGTATCTGAATATAATTTCACAGACTTAACTGCAACATAGTCAAATATTATATATTCGGTCCCAAAGTAATTCAATAAAACATAAATTGAATATAAATAAAATTACCTTTGAAAATCCTTAAGGAAGGTACAATGTTGACACTTCATCATTGGAACAGATCACGCTTTCTTCATTTAATTACAAGATGACACACTTGGCCTGCATTTAAGGATATGTTGTACAAAAAAATAGTTATATTAGTTTTTTAACTCTCATCATGACATTTTGCCTCTAAATACCCAGAATGCATCTCCAAAAATTAGGCACATTTCCCATATAACTGTACCACAATTGTCAAACCCAACAAGAATAATATTCCTCAATATTCAATAATACCATGAGTTGCATTTCATTTTGTCTTACGAAGTTTCTCACTTTTTCCATGTTAGTGACTTGTTTTTTAAATCTGGGCCTGTTGTATTAAAGACTTATATATTGTCAGGCCTTCTAGATTTGTCTGATTGGTTTCTTATGGTGTCGTTTATCTTGTTCTCTACCCCCTCTATCTCTTATAAACTAGAAGTAAGAGCTAAAGATATCATTAAGTCAAGACAAACATTTTTTGGCATGAAGACTTTGTAGGTGTTGTTCACGTCCTCAAATTATTTATGTTTGATTATCCCACTGTAAGTGACAGAAATACTGATCTCACTGGTTAAAATGGTAACAGACTAATTATTTCCATTGTCACATTATGGCCTCTGCAAATAGCAGGTGATCTGTGGAATGATACTTAGGTAACACTGAATAGTTTATCAGTACCCTTTCCCTTGATGGTTTTAGTATTCTATTCACTGGTGATCATTGTCTAAATCATTACATGATTAAAAGAGTCATATTTTTTCCTAATTATATTTACATTTTTTAGCTGGCATTCATCTATTAAAAAATCTTTTCCTCATCAGTACAGGCTGTTTGGTTATTTTGAAATACAGGTCTAACTAGAAAGCTAATTAAATTGCCTGTAGTAATTTTCAGAATGAGAAGTAGATGGTGACAGTTTTGGGGATGAAGTGAAGGTAGCTTTTTCTGAGTGTAATAAATTATGAGTTCATATTGATAATCCCAATTTAAATTTCACAATTCAAAATTGTTAGGGTTTTTTTTCCTTTGGTTTTATACTTGTATTTCTTTTTCTCTTAATGCTGAAAATTTTGGTTCCTATCAACACTAACATAACATACGTACTTTTTTCTCAATATGCAACAGATAGTTTCAAAGTAAATAAATCATTACTGCTACTAACAGTAAAACTATAGGGTAGGGTTTAAAATTTTTTCATAGTTCTTTTTGTTCTTGGGATAAATTTTATAATAGAAGATTACATATACAACCAAGATATTTACTATGTGACATTATGTAGCATGAGATACTCCTAGAAAGTAAGTCTGGGTTTGTTGCCTCTTTCACATTTACCCTAGGGCACGAGATGACACAGAGGAATCATTGAGTCATTTCATTTCCACTATTTTAAATGCTTTTCCTTTTTCTTTTTTCCTACTGTGTGTATGCAGTTTAATTTGGTTAATGTGTATGTAATATGACTAACATTTCATTAATAAATGGGGGGAAATGTTCAGACAACTGCATGGCTTTGAATATTTTCACTATTCTAACAACCTGATTTGTTTTTTCTTTATCTCTTGTAGAACCAAAGGCAAACAGAAGAGACATGCTCCTTATTGGATCAGGGCCAGGAAGCAGACCAATCCAGGCAGCAGACAGTACTTACCAAATGGCCACTATCTGATTTGAGTGTGATTGATCAGCTGTTCAAGGAAATGTCCTATTGTTTGTTTGACTTGAAGGCATTGTGTAGTATTCTCAATCAGCGAGCTCAGGGCAAGGAGCCTAATCTTTCATTATTACTGGGAATCAGATGTAAGTCGTTGATGCCTTGTTCTTACTATATTGCTTAGCAATTAGAAACCTGTCTTCATGGATCAGGAACCTCTTACTGCCTTTTCCCTATTTGTTTTTATCTCCTTTCCTACTTAGATTTATAAATCTCTGAATAAATCTGTAGGTCTGTGAATACCTATTATTACTTGATTGCTAGGACTTACCTCATACTTAGAGAAGTGAGCAGTGTCATATTGGTATGGACTGCCACTTGGCAGAATGCCTACAGAGCTTCCTGTGTGGACGAGCTGTGCTGGATCTGCTAATATGTGATTGGAGTGGTAGTTTGATGTGATAGTCCTGATTACTCTTCTAAAAGTAATGATTCTATTGGCTTTCACGTGGTAATTGCCTAAGGTAATGATCCAGCCATCTCTCTGCTGGTAAAATATTTGAGAGAAGATACGCCTTTGCTTTTCCTATGCAGTGTATGTCTGTGGCAGTTGCTAAATGTAAGTACCAGTGCTGGGGCACCTGGGTGGCTCAGATGGTTCAGCGTCTGCCTTCGGCTCAGGTCATGATCCCTTCTTGGGATCGAGCCCCACGTGGGCTCCCAGCTCAGCGGGGAGTCTGCTTCTCTCTCTCTCTCTCTCTGCCTTTCCCTCTGCTTGTCTGATTTCTCTCTCAAATGAACAAATAAAATCTTTAAAGATATATATATATACTATATATATTTAAATATATATATAAAATAAAAAAGAAAATATATATTCTCTATGTCTGTGCTGTCACAAGAGCTAATTTTCATGGCCTGTGGATCTGTTGCCCTTGTCATGCATTTACACTCTGGCCTTATTCCTTTCAATATGACCCCCCCACATTGTTCCTCAGTTCCATGTTCTTCCACACATAGTTGTAAGATCCGCCAAAGGAATATCCTAGTTTCTCTTCTGTGCTGCTTTTGCAGAAACACACATCTCTGCCTGTGGTTCTAAATTACTATAATATTGACATATTGGTCTCTTTTTAATACAGAAGAAATGGGCATAAGTAAGGAGATATGATTGGAGTAAGACCATAATAAGGTTTATGCACTTTCTATGTTGTATTGAAAAAATGCCTAATAATATAGTTAATGTGTGACTAGAGTGGAGACTAGTTTTATTTACAGTTTCATCAAAAAGATTCTACCAATTGGCGTCATGATAGTTATTTTGGCAAACCAAGTAATACTTTCCACCAAAGTATATCCCTTGTTAAATGAAACATGTAACTGTGCTCAGAGAGGTCAGCAGAATTTTCCCTTCCACTTCACAGATGTTTATATACATATGTTTGGGTATGTAAAAAACACTTTAATGTGTAAATATATTGACTTAGTAAGTAATGCTTTATATAGTCCTGATACTAAGGTGCAGATAATGCAGTTGAACACAGCCCTTGGCTGCCACACAAACTCGATTACTAGAGCATTGTGATAAGTACTATAATTGAGATGTGGATGGAGGAAAATGGGGGCCCAAGGGGAAAACTAACTAAATGGGAAGGGCTGTGAAGGCTCTGATGTTTGGCTTAAATCTCTGGAGGAGAGGTTTGCCAGGTCATGGGGCGATTTAGTCAGCAGAAGTCAGTTACTTCTCTTGAAGAAGTAAAAGCTCACACACAGAAGACTCAATTCTCTTTACCATTTTAGAAGTAGTCACCCCTTCAGTTATTTTGTAACTTTCTACATTTTTATTCTCCTGTATAGTATTTGTCACCTTTTCCCGTAATTAGATTAAGAGAGCTATCCAAACGTGAATATAAAGGGAGATTGAAGAACTTTGTCACATTCACCTCCCAGTGTATCCCTCTTTCAGTCTTTCAGGTTTAAACCCATATCCCTTACCTTGTATCTTGGTACTGTGAAAATTTGACCAGCTAGGTAATTTGTCAAAAACCAGTGGATTTTGAATCCTTATCTCCTCACTCCACCCATTGTTCAGTGACACTCTTTACCCCACCCTTCTTTTTTTAAAAATGCTCTGCTACCACGGTTTCCATGGCTTTGTTTTCTAGGTTCTGCTTCTGCCTTTATGACTGCTCAGTCTTAGTGTTCTCTGGAATTCTCTGCCATTTAAATTATTTACTGTCCCCCAGAAATCTTTTGTTTTTTTTTTTTCTTTTTTAAAATTGGATTATTTGTGGGGTTTTTGGTACTGTGTTGTATAAGTTCTTTATATATTTTGAAAATTAACCCTTTATCCAGTATATCATTTGCAAATAACCTTCTCCCATCTTGTAGATTGTCTTTATTTTGTTGATGGTTTTTGTTTTGCTATGCAAAAGCTTTTCATTTTGGTATAATCCCAGTAGTTTGATTTTGCTTTTTGTTTCATTTGCCTGAGAAGACCTATCTAGAAAAATGTTTCTATGGCCTATGTCAAAGAAATTACCACCTGTGTTTTCTTCCAGGAGTTTTTTATTGGTTTCAGGTCTCATATTTAGGTCTTTAATCGATTTTCAGTTTATTTTTGTGTATAGTCTAAGAAAGCAGTCCAGTTTCATTCTTCTGAACGTAGCTGTCAAATTTCCCCAACACCATTTGTTGAAGAGATTGTCTTCTCCACGTTGTATATTTTTGCTTCCATTGTCAAAGATTAATTGACCGTATAAGCATAAATTTATCTCCGGTCTCTCTATTCTGTTCTGTCAATCTATGTGTCTGTTTTTGTACCAGTACTATATTGTTTTGATTACTATAGCTTTGTAATACATCTTCAAATCTGGGATTGTGATACCTCTACCTTTGTTCTTTCACAAGATTGCTTTGGCTGTTTGGGGTCTTTTGTGGTTCCATACAAATTTTAGGATTGTTTCACAACATTTGTGAAAAGTGTTGGTATTTTGACTGGGATTACATTAAATCTGTAGATTACTTTGGGTTGTATGGATATTTTAACAATATTAGTCCTTCCAATCCATGAGCTTGCTATATCTTTCCAATTTGTTGGTGTTCAGTTTCTTTCATCCATGTTTTAAAGTTTAGGGCATACAGGTCTTTCATCTCCTTAGTTAAGTATATTCCTTGGCATTATATTCTTTTTGGTGCAATTGTAGATGGGATTGTTTTCTTAATTTCTCATTCTGCTTCTTCACTATTAGTATATAGAAATGCAATGATTTCTTTATACTTCTATAATTTCATGTCCTGTGACTACTGAATTCATTTATCAATTCTTTGGTAAGTCTTCAGGGTTTTCTGCAAAGAGTGTCATCTACAAACAGTGTAAGTTTTACTGATTCCTCAATAATTTGGGTGTTTTTGTCTCTCTTTTTGTATATTTTCTCTTAGTAATCTTACCTATGTCCTTTTGCTTTCTTTTAGTGCTGTACTTTTGACCCATACAGACATTTATCTCTTCCCTGCCTAGAATGGCCCCCTGGGCTCTTGTTTATACTTTCCTTTTATTAGAGCCAGTTATTCTATAGGCATCATAGGACTCAACTATGTCCAATAGAGAACCTACTTTTCTTCCCTCCCTAATCCTGCACCTCACTAGTGGTGCTAGTGAGTAGCACCACTATCCACCTGTCCGCCCTAATCCAGATTTTTCTCCACCCTGTTCTTTCCTTCATCTGGGTATGTCCTTTGCCTAGTCCCTAACCCCTATATAACTTAGGATGGTTGAGCTCTATCATTTCTACCAGTCCCTTCTTAGCATTCATTCCTTCCATTACATCTCCATTGCACTGTTGCCTTAAATGAAGCTTTCAAAGTCCTTCACCTGGACTGGTCTCTCTGTCCACTGTCTTGCCCACTTTCCCCCACTAATCCATTTTTGTCACAATGCTGCCAGAGTGATCTAACCTAATGGTAATTCTGATTTCCAAATATTTACAGTCCCCTAAAATAGAGATAGGTAGGTCTCACATGCCTCTTTAGCTTTATTTCTTGACCCTTGCCTTCATAATTTGTGCTCTGCCATTTTAGAGCTGGTTACTTACTTTCTTGAAGTTTCTCAGATTCTTTGGTTTTCTGCCTTTGTGCCTTTGTTCATTCTGCATCTTGGCCCATCCAATGAACCTGCACCCTCTCCAGTTAGGCTGGTTGTTCTCTTCCTTATGCCACTGTAGTCTGTGTATGGTGGTAGGACACCTACAATACTTAACTGTGCTTACTTGTTTATGAAGTATATGTAAATCATTAAGAATAAACCACTACATCCATTATTTTGCTGGCCTTTCCATCTAGCATAGTGCCTGGATCATGGTAGGTGTTCAGTTAGTGTTTGTTGAATTAACAAATAAGTTAATCTTGACTCTTACACCTCCAGTAAGCTACCAATGCCGGTAAAGGCATAAGGAAAGATTTATTTATTTATTTATTTATAAAGATTTTATTTATTTATTTGACAGAGAGAGAGGTGACAAGTAGGCAGAGAGGCAGGCAGAGAAAGCAGGGGGTGGGGGAGAGGCAGGCTCCCCACTGAGCAGAGAGCCCAATGCGGATCCCAGGACCCTGAGATGGTGACCTGAGCTGAAGGCAGAGGCTTAACCCACTGAGCCACCCAGGTGCCCCAAGGAAAGATTTATTTTACAATTATTGACTCCATCTGCTTTAATATTGAGATGTACTGACAAAGAGAGGAACTGAGGTAAATAATTAACAGCCAGCTGACTCAAAGCCTCACCCTCCCCACCCTAGGTCATTCAGCCATTGGGCAGCTAGCCATCAGCCCAATTGAATTGTGTGGGGTTGTAGCATTCCACACACCACACATAAACATACATATATATACATATACATACATATACACACACGCTTACCATATATTTTGGAAATTTATGCTTTCATGCTAATAAACCCATTTTGCAGTCTATAAAAATTAAAGCTATCACTCCTTAATACAGAAGTGATTTTCAGTTTTTTGTCAAGTCAGAATGAGTGCTGTAGTTGAGCTGGAGAGCTATTAGGGCATGCTTTTTCTTACTTTTGGAATGTTGTCATCCTTTAAACATGTTGAACATGTGTATTACAGTATGGATTTAATGCAATTTAATTAGCAAAAATTTAAAAGGAGCAGGTAAACAAGATCTATTTAATACTGAATGATACATTTAAACCTGAACCTGATTGGTATTCAGGATACAACATTGTATTTCTAATGATAATTAAGTTAAAATTCCTAAAATGCCTTTGGTCAAAAAAGTGTGAGACAGTCTCCATATTTTATTTCCACAGCAATGAACTGTTCAGCTGAAGAGACTGAGAATGACTATAGCCCAGAAACACTCAGTAAAAAATTGTCAGATGTATGCCAGTTACGGAGGGACATCGATGAATTAAGGACTACAATATCCGACCGCTATGCTCAGGACATGGGAGACAACTGCATTACCCAGTGATCAGCTCTTGGTTCCACAGCAATAACGACCCATTGTTAAATGCTGCTGTGTTACAGTTCTTCATATTTCTGTTTAGGAGCCATGATGGAAAGTCACAAGTGACATATAGGACTTTTTTTTTCTGTGGATTTGTTTTCCTGGGGGAGAAAGGGGATTTGATGAGGCTTCAAAGGGGGCTTATCTAATCAGGCCAAAAAACCAAATTACTATTTGAAAAATGTGATGACATGTACAAGAAAAACAAAAAATCTGTCTTCTCATACTACTGATTGTAGGACCAAGCTGTGAATAGTGCCCTTCAGATAAAGGGATAGGATTTCTTTTTATCTGTAGCTATGTGTGTGCGTGTGTGCGCACATGTGTGCACATGTGTGTTTATTCACAAAATTATAAGGATTTCTAGGGTCAAAGCAAAGCTTCCGAGAAAGGCACACACTGTTTATTCCTGTATTTCTTTTCTTTCATGTAGAAGCTTGTGTTGTTCTTTGAGGTTTTCAAGGGCTGGCTGAACAAGAGTTCCAACAGCAGGCAAGTGTTTTAGTAGGAGTACAGCTGGCAAAACCATGTGTCTTTTGAACAACCACTGTGCCGCGATGATGAGGTTGTGGGGTTGGGTTGATTTAGTACTGTGGGTAGGTCAGCTATTTTTCCAGAGTGATAATGGGTTGCCTTAGAGGTATGAAATTTTGATGTGATAATCTTTTCATTAGCATTGCAATTTATATATCACAAGGCAACTTAACATAATTTGAACTAATTTTAACATGTCCCTTACTATTAACAATTTTTCATTTACATGTATCAATGTAAACAAAGCCATAAAGAATTAATGCTAACCATCTAAAGCCATTGTTGTAAAAGAAGGATTAACAAAGTCACTCTGGAGCAATAGTTTATTTATCCAATTCTCACGTTTACATTTTAATAGTTTTGTATGTTTTAAAGTTAAAACTACTTTAAGAAAAAGCTAACCTGTATTCTTGATATCTGAATTATCACAAACATAAAACAATATTAAAACCAGGTGATATTTCAATTATACTTATTAGGTAAACTACATTAAAAACTGGGTTTTTCATATAATACGAGGTTATTTCTTCTTCTGGAGTACAGGATATCATTATGAAATGAAACTGATTTTTAAGTAGACATACAATTATTTAAACTTCCAAACAAGTACTTTCCTGTTTTATTTGGAATTGTGGGAGGATTATATGTTTTATTACTTTAGAACGTTTATTACATTCTTTTGAATACACTTAGTTATGGCAATCATTGTTCTTTACAAACTGGTTTGTTTTCTTGATGCAACCAGGTCTCAAGTAGGGCAAGACCAAATAAGAGGTAGAAGAAATAAGGGGTGTGAATTCAACAGGATAATACTGTTTTGGGCAAGAACAGATCACATGTCTGTTTCTGTTGCCAGGCTTATCTACTGGTATAAAGACCGCTCCTAGAAAAGATTTTTCTTAAATATTTTCAGCAGTGAAAACATGTGGGATAAAAACTTAAAGGAAACTCCCCAGGAAGACATTCAGTTCAGAATTTGGCTAATATGCAGCGCTCAGTAAGTTATTCTGTGGTTATGTTACAACAGTCAGTTATAATACATTGTAAGTACATCCAACTGTACTTTTGTTTAGTGCCTGAGTCCTCCCTACTCTTACTTCTTAGGATCTAGTCACTAAGAAATCAGTGCATGATAGTGATTCTGCATTCCAAGTACCTATGCTCATATGGAAAAGTCACTTGTAAGAACATGGCATTCTAATGTGTTCATTTGTTTTTTAACGTTGGTGGTTTGAAGACAATCAGGGAGTAGTAAATTTATACCAAAAATCTGAATCAAAGAACTCTGCCTTGTAAAAATATCTGTAAAAATGGGCCTTTATATTAAGAAGTAGATACTAGCATCTGAAAAAGATAAACCACAGTGCAACACACAATATTCTTAACATTCTCTCTGAATAGAAACTCCAACCCCTCCCTCTCAACTTCCACAGTTTGGGAAATAAAGGCACCCTAAGATGATAGTACTGATGTGCATAAATAATCACTGATTTGCGTCACTAGGTTCTTAATGTCTTCTAGGTTTTTAGTATATGTTTTTGGGTTTTATGGTTATTAGTGTTGTTTTGAACAAACTTTTGGTCATTTGCTTTAATTTACTATAGACATATTTTTGTTTTCTGACTTGGGGTAAAATATTTAATTTTTTAAATAAGTTTTCTTTTAAAACTTACAGAATTTGACTTAATTCACATGTCTTGAGGTAAAAATGTGTTAATATAGAAAATTGACTACTACTGGTGTATTTCCATTTCCAAAATGTCTACCTCCTCACAAATAAAAAAGGAAAATAAGATGTGATAGTTTAAGTATAACCCTGAGTTACAAAATTAATCTCTTGGAGTTTGGAGTTTGTGAAGGGACCTAGGTAATAAGTAGACAGTCTTGGAGGGAATATTTTTGGGGAAATGAAATAGTAGTATTCTATTTGTCAGCATTTAATTTTAATTTTATTTTTCAGAAAATTCCCCTTTCCCGAGATAACTTCTTCTGTTAGATTGTAATAATACTGGTATCTCATTGAAAACAAAGATTTGACTGTTAGGTCAAGTAAGATGGGCAAATAGAAACACTAAGTGTCTTATTCTAGTTTGAACTAGGATGTTCTCAGACGTTATTATACTGATATATGTCTGAGATGAAAATTAACCTAAATTTTGAAGTTAAATCTATTTGGGTGATTTCCTTAGATGTGAAAACTTTTTAATTATGTGAATTAAATGCTTGTCTTCTTAGGAAGTATCTCATGCAGTGTTAACATTTATTATTGGTCTTCTGGATTTTGAAGTTGAGATTATTCTGCCTCAGTCACACTAAAGCAGGGATAAAGTAACAGTATCTCAGTAAAAGACCCACTTACCTGTGCAGACAAAAATAACGGAATCAAAGGCACAATAGTTAGTTGTCTTTTCTTTTGATGTCTGAAGGATACTTTAGTTAAGCTGTTAGTAAATTTTCAGTGGCCTCTAATTTTAAAAGCTTAAGTAGTGACTAGATCAGTCATGCCTGGATTTCTTCTTTAAATAAGTGTTGTCCCTTTTTATATTTGAGATGGGATTCAGCATTTAATATTAACAACATTTTTTTGTGAAATTTATTTTGGTCATGACAGTTTAGTCAACTGAATTAGGCTTCTTTCAGTAGCTTATTAAAGACAATCTCAAGGGCTGCAAAGTGTTGCTAAAGTGGATATTGTACATTTCTAAGTCAGTAATGAGCTTATGAATTAATTTTGTCATAGTTCAAGACATTACTAGAAATCCCTTAGAGGATATTTTTAAAGGAACTACTTTATTGGGAAAACGTTCTTTCGATATCAGTAATCGTTCATTGGATAACTTAGTAACCGAGAATTTGGGACTGTATTTTTACATAGCATAGTTCAGCTCAGGCACAACTTTAGTTTGAATTATTGGCATTCTCTTATGTAGATTTCTATCATTATAGATATATAATAATAAGCAATTCTCATAACCATGCTCACTCAGACTATATCATTTGAAACTGCCAGTAGCTGTAGCTCTCAGAGCCAAAGTTAATTCATTTTGTTTCTGTTTTTGACAATTTTCAGTGTTCACAAAACAAGAAAAGTAATTTCCTGTTTGGTGAAAGAGTATAATTTCCAACTTTACCCCAAAATGCCATGGTGATATATTGCTGTATGATAATATTATACATTTAATCATGAAAGGGGAATGCTTTTGGATTTTTTTTTCTTACTTAAAAGAAGTACTGAGTATATTAATGTAGTTTCAAGTCAGTAAGTCATTAACAACACTATTGCAGCTGCATACAGAGAGAACCTTTTGTGCCTTTTTGCCTGCAGTAAGCGTTCATTTCTGTTTTACATGAGTTATAAGAATGTTGATGATTATTGCACCTTGTTCTTCTGTAAATAGACCTGATTAAGGATTTTTTCTTAAGCAAGGAGCAGGTTTTCATTATTAGGTTAGATACCTTAGGTTAGGAAACATGAGAGGATATATGTTTTTGGAGCCCAACCTTTCCCCAGTGTAGTAAGCAGGAACCTCCTCCCAGAATGTAGTTATTTGTGTGTATATGTGTGTACATATATGTATAAATATTTAAATACAGAAACAAAGTTTGGCATCACAGTGGTGTGATGACAAGAAGTAGTAAGGTGCTAGCTAGGTGGTTACATTAAAAGCACAGCAGAGTGTATAATCAGTCACTATGACTGGTGGTTTTTGTAAACTAGGTTCAATTTTTGAACCACCCAAAATACCTCATGTGTAAATACAGAGTGGTCGTGACTTAATTGAAATACAGTTATTGTAAAAAGAATGTGAAGCCACTGGTTGGCTTATGCCTTCTGATCTATCATTCTTGCCTCTTTTTTTGTAAAGGGGTTATTTTTTTGTTTTTGTTTTTTAATAGGGTTTACAGCTAGAATTTTGAATGCCAAAGTTCTATTTATTAAATTTAAAAAAGTTTTCAATGTTAATGGCTAAGTATTTTTCCACTGGACTATTGTTTGTGATGTTGGAATTTGTATTTACAGAGAAATAAATTTTTTATAAAAAGATATATGTCTTTGGAAGTGCCTAATCTTAATATAAGAATGTATTTGAAATTTCAGACTCCACTGAATTCTCGAGGATAAGAATATGCTGACTTGACTTTTAGGTAAAAGCTTTCTATGAATACACAAGAGAATCTTTGACTAGAATACTTCTGCTTTTAGTCTGTCTTACAATTTCTTTTCAGTTACTGAAAAGCTTTTTCTCAGGGTCTTCCCAAGAAGGGCACTGAGATTTTCTGATGACAGGTGCCATAAATACCAAGGCATGCCTGTATTTAGTTTAGCTAATAGTGCTGTGTCGCCTTTTCAGTTTTTAAAATCCCTATTTAAATCAAGAGTTTTCTTTCTAGTTTTCCAACAGACAGCATTGGTTTCAGTTTTTATACTACCAGAAGGTTGAGCTGGCAAGTTAAATTTTTTCTATTTTCCCCCTTTTAATCAGAGGTTGAAACCTTATTGAAACATACACAAATACAGTATTGTTTAAAGGTTACTCTGCAGGGGTCTTGACATCTCAGCTTTAATCGTTTGCTAGCCTAGGCCCAGAGATGCCCTGTGGATGGCACCCTTGGTCCTTGTTTTAACACATATGGGTGGTGATAGCCTCAGTGTCTCTAGGAAGTTGGTTAATTTTTGGATTAGCAGTATCTGTTTGCAGTCCAACTAATTTGGCATTGCTGTCAGTCCTTTGTGAGACATCTAATTCAGTTAACAGGAGAAGGACCACTTTGGAAATCATACATCACAAACCATTTCGGTTGCAAGCAAATGTCTTACAAATAAAAACAGAGTGGATAAAATCCTAGACTATTTTTAAGGTGATTAGTGAAGAGGTCTCTCCTTCAGAATGAAAGATATGATTACTTTTGATCTGGTTTTTAAAAAAGTATTTTAATGGGGGGGAGTCAACAAAGAGCTTTTGATAGTGTGTATCCCAATGATTTTGCCAATGGTTTGGGCTTCTCTTTATGCCAACTTCCTCTAACCAAACAGAACCATTCTGTGTGGAAACCTAGAACTCCGTTTAAAAGAGGCGTGAGATACCTTGTTAGTATTGGCACAAAATGGTGGGGTGTGGATCCAACAGAGGAAACATCCTTAGAAAATGAATGCTGTTGCATCTAACTAAGATGCAAACTAAGATGCTGTTGCATCTAAGTTTGAGTGCATATATACACAATTTTGAAGAATAGTAATTTAAGCAGAAATAGTGTATACAGTCACATCCCTTTTAAACAAGCAAACAAGGTAATTTAATTTACATCTTGCATTCCTACACTGATCATTTAGTCATAAAACAAGTGGTTAAACTTGTTTAATCACCTGTGCTTTAAAAATAATGCACAGCCTTCTGTGCCTTCTATATCATCAGCATCAGCATCATCATCCTCATTAATCAACATTTGAGCACATGCCAGCCAAGTATAAGGACCTTGCATAAATCATCTCATTTATTTCTCTTTATAATACTCTATGGAATAGAGTACTCTGTGGAATAAGTAGGTGCTATTTTTATCCCCACTTAGACCAAAAAATTGAATTGAAATTGAAAACCAAAGAAAGGTTTAGTATCTTGAACAAGTTTGAACAGCTTGTAAGAGACAGAGCCATAATAAGAACCAGGCCTCTTTAATTCCAAAACCTGACTCTAGACCACTCACTAGACTTCTGTTGCAGGTTAGTGCTCAAAATTAAACTACTCCTTCCAAAAGATGCTTCCTAGTTGAGCTGCTACATTTCCATAAGTTACACCTTTATTCCAAGAATCATTTGTGGTGATTTCTTCCTTACATACCCATCCATATTAGTTTCCTATTCCTTCTGTAACAAATTTCCACAAACTTACTAGTTTATTGAAATGCAATTTATTAACTTACAGTTCTGGGGGTCAGAGCTCAAAAATGGTTCTCTCCGGACTAAAAATCCAGGTGTTGACAGGGCTATGTTCCTGTCTGTAGACTCTGGGGGAATGTTTCTTTGCCTTTTTTTTTTTTTTTTGTCTTCTAAGGTTTATTACATTCCTTGATTTATGGCCCCATTCTTCTCTCTTCAAAGCCCACAATGTCAGGCCAAGCCCATCTGACACTGCCATCTATTTGCTTCTCCTCTGCTGCCCTCTTCCCCCTTTTAAAGAAATCCTGAAATTAGATTTGGTCCACCCAGATAATCCAGAATAATCTCCCTATTTTAGGGTCATAGTTGATTAGCAATCTTAATTCTACTTGGATGTAGAATGCAAGTAGACATTCTACTTCTCTTTGACATGTAATCTGACATGTAATTTCATAGGTTCCAGGGAATATGATGTAGATCTCTTTATGAGGGCTACTGCTATTATACCTTCCACACCACGTCCTAAACAAATCAATTGTCAAATCTTTAAAATTCTATTTTTTCCATTCTTACACGTTTGTTTTGGGTACTTCATTTCTATTAATCTTGTTTGATTTAGTTGAGACTCAAAACTACTCTAAAATAGATTTCAGATACTTGAGCTTTAAAAAAAATTAAATTGGAACCTCCAAAGTCTCCTTTTAAGCTATATTGTTAATGATTCAGGTATTTGCTTAATCAAGGAAACACATGTAAGACCCCTGGTTTAGCTTCTAAAAAAACAAAAGCAAGTATTGTCTTTTTGGAGAATTTCTGAATTTTTAGAGCATCAATATTTGTCAATATCTTACGTGCCACAGTCTGGATTTTTCTGATTCTTTCTCATGATTAGATAGAGGTCAAACATTTTTGGCAAAAACGCTACTTGGATGATGTATATTTTTCATCATATTTGGAAACTCATGATGTATCATTATTGGTGATGCTAAATAATCATCTTCAATTTTAACAGTCAAATAGAGGACAGGTGGCAAGGCTTTTGACCATATAAGATAGAGAGTTAGCCGGGTGCCTGGGTTGATCAGTTGGTTAATTGTCTGACTCTTGATTTCAGCTCTGGTCATGATCTCAGGGTTGTAGGATTGAGCACCATGTCAGGCTTAACTATTTGTAATAATGTAATTATCATGTTATAAACAGAAAATACTTTATGATTAAATTTCTATAAAGTGTTAGACCATGAAGATCTCATCTATGAGATAGTGACTAGAAGAGGCACAAGGGAAGTTCTGGGTTTCTGGGGTTGCTCTGCTTCTTGATCTGGGTGATATTTACACAGATGTGTTCACTTTGTGAAAATTAAGTGTACCTTTATAATTCCTGTGCTTTTCTATATATGTGTATAATTAAATAAAAAGCTTACACTAAAAAAAAAAAGGCAAGGAAATTTGGGAAAAATCAAATAGAATTTTTAGAAAGGAAAAATATAATTAAAAATTAAATGGAAAAATTAAATAGCATATTAGATATCGACAAAGGGAGAATTTGTAAACTGGAATATAGTAAAGAAGAAATCATCCAGAGAAGGAGGTTGAAAAACATGAAGAGTGTAATGACATAGCCTAATAAAAAAATTAATTAGAATTTCAAAAGGAGAAGATTGAGAAAATGGAGACTATGAAATATTTTTTAAAGATTTTATTTATTTTAGAGAGGGCATGAGCAGGGGGTAGGGGATGGGGAAGAGGCAGAGGGAAAGAGAGTCTCAAGCAAGACTTTGTGCTGCACACAGAGCCCGATGTGGGGCTTGATCCCACAAACATGAGATCATGGCCTGAGCCAAAATCAAGAGTCAGACTTTTAACTGACTGAGCTACCCAGGTGCCCTGAGAATATGAAATATTTAAAGAGGTCATACTTATTTACCTGGACAGTAAATTTTTCAGGATGGTACATTATATTAATTTTTGTATATTGAACCATCCTTGCCTTTAAGGAAGAAATGCTACTTGGTCATAGGGTATAATCCACACCTCCCACCTCAGTAGTAGTAGTTTTGTAGTATAATGCTCCTAGGAGTGGTTTTGCTTATATTGTTCCTGTTTAGGATTTTCTTTTTAAGATTTTATTTATTTGAGAGAGAACAAGAGCAAAAGAGATCACAGGAGGAGAAGCAGACTCACCACTGAGCAGAGAGCCTGAGGGCTCCATCCCAGGACACCCATAAGATCATGACCGGAGCTGGAGGCAGATTCTTAACCAACTGAGTCACCCAGGTACGCTGTCCCTGTTTTGGTTTGATAGGGTCTTTGAATCTGTGAGTTGATGTATTTCATTTTGGAAAATTCTCAGCTTATTAAACCTTTACATATTATTTCTGCCACATTTTCTCTCTTCTCTCCATTTGTGACTCTCAATTATGTGTATCTTCTCTTTTATCCCCTATGTTTCTTATATTCTTTACTAATCTTTTGTTTTTCTTCATTCTGAAAGTTCTGGTGTATCTTTCATTTCAATATTTATGCTCTTAACTATTTTACCTGTGAAATCCATCCATTGAGTTCTCCAATATCTGTTGTTATATTTTTCAGTTCTAGAATTTCCATTTGGTCCTTCCTTAGAATTGTCAGTTTTCTGCTAAAACTCTCAATTTTGTCATTTATTTCTTGGGTATATTAAGTATATTAAGTATAACTATTCTAAAATCCATTATTTGTATCTTACCGTCTTTTTAAAAGTCTTTTAAGACTTTTATAAAGTCTTATTTCTTCACATGCCTGATCATTTTTGACTAAGAGCTGAATACTTTATATAAAAAATATAGACATAATTTGAAGCTCTTGATAATGTTATATTTCTTCAGATAAGATTTAAATTAGCTTCTGGTGGGCTAGGAGAACTAATCACCTTAACTCAGAGATTCAGATGATTTAGAGCAAGAGTTTGAGCCCCTGGGAGAGCCACTCTACATCTGGCTCACCTAGCAGAATCAAAACCCAAAGCCAAGGGCACTTTACCAGGTCCTGCCTTCCTGCAAGGGCTATAGTTTCCAAATTTTACTCTACCCAGGAATTAGTGAGTTATGACCCACAGGCCAAATCTAGCCTACCACCTGGTTTTGTAAATAAAATTTTTATTAGATCACACTCATGCCCAT